CCCACACCACTATCACAACCACCACTACTTCATCCTCTCCCCCACCACCGCGCCAACCCACTACGGAGACTCACTGACAGACCCACTTCAAAAATGGCAGGACTCTTTTACAAGTATATCTCTCTCGCTCTCTCTCTCCACAATTTGCCATCACCACAGCCCCACACCAGTATCACAGCCATCAACCCCCCATCCCCCCCCCCACCAACACGCAAACCCCACCCTTTAGGACAAACTATCAATTGGAACTAAACCCAGAATTGTAAATGTTGATGTCGACCAGGGCTTCTTAGGCATTTTAGGTGTGTTACAGTGGGTTCTCAAATAAGTTTCCAACTAGCTGTTTTGGGTTCGTTTTCTTTTAGGAAAAATTAGGTTTGTTGATTAATTTGTGTTGGTTTATTTATACATTAATTTTTGGAAGTCAATTTGAATTCGGTATGTTGAAATTAGGTTGATTTGTGGAATTTCGAGAGGAATTTGGATTTTTATAAAATTTAGCATATTTAGATGTGTTTTGGTGCAATAATTGGTGAGCTTTGCTTGCTGCAATACTTGGGTTTTGGGTAAGGGGTTTTGTAGGTTGATGCTACACTACATATGGGTATTGAGGTTGGACTGATTATCGATGATTGAGAAGGTGCATTCACGGTAACTATACTCTAGATATTAAATTTGGTTGCCAAGAAAAAGAAGTTGGAAAAAGGAAGGGTAATTGATCATGAGACCAGAGAAAACTATTAAACACTCACATGTTATTAAATGGACGCACTTGCTTGACGAGTTTGGGTTTATCAGTTTATCTTGCAATATCAGTGGAAAAGAAAAGTGGTTTTTATCAATTTTTTTTTCACTTTGAGGTATTATGGTATTTGGCACTTTGTACAAATAATTAGTTTCTATAATTATGGTAATTGTACTCTTTTGGCACTATCAATTTTATGTTTACTTGATTCTAATTAGAGTAAGAGATTTTATATATACATCCATATTTATATGTACAAGTACGAAATGACATGTAATCTCCATCAAATACGTAATTATTCCTTGTGGAAATTGAGCGACTTTATTATGTTTGCCGTACTTCCAATATTAGTGCAGTTTGTTAAGGAGTGAGCTGCCTACCACTATAACAAAACCTATAAACACACACACATCATATATAGATAGAAAGGGATAAAGAGAGGATTGGTTTAAAATCTCTCTATATGTACTTAAGAATTCCATGGTAGTTAATTAGTTGTTTGATTAATATTATTTTATAGCTGGCTTATGAAAATGCATTAGATTTTTTCAATTAGATTTTTTCGTGTCAATCCAATTTTGTATTATCGGGAATATCTGTAGATTAATTTAGTTTATCAATTTCATAACCGAAAACAAAATCTTTTGACTTGAACTTGTATTATTAGTTTTTTAATTTTTAATGTTGCTGTAGAATTTGATGTGTTCATTTTTTATTTTTATCCTAAACCGATTAGTAACTTGTGTGGCCTTGTACACACTAGGTTAGAAGAGAAAATAAAGAATACCAAAGAGAAAAAAAATTCAGCAATATTAAATGATAATTCATTGACATTGGTATAAAGAATCTTGCAAATGTCCTTACGTTATTATGCTGTTAGACACAAATTATAGGGATGGAATCAAGAATGATGTAGTTGTACAAACTTTAAATATTTATTTCTATAGTATTTTTATTGGATGTAGTGGTTATTTGCTAATTATTTATCGATCTTTACCAAAGAGGTTAATTTTTGTAATGGTGATTCACGACTTTAATATTTATGATTTACTATATAATACAGTTCATGTGTAACGAACGTGTGCATCAACTCGTTATTACAAAATGTGTTAGATACCTGAGTAACATTGAATATAGTTGTAGGGAGATTAATTGAATCCAATTCGCATATTTCATGCACTTCTATTTCTCTCTATCTATCCATCTTTGTGTCTTTCTTCTCTATCTCTCTCTATTTATCTATATTATTTAAATTATCTTACAAACAGTTCTCAACATCAGTTGCCTCTGGTTTTTTTTGTTTGTAGATATTTGTATGATATATGCACATTTGAAACATGAAGAGAAAAGTGAATGTTGAAGTTGGGAATACTATGACTGAAAAGATGGTAGGCGCTGCATCTTCGCAAGGTGGCAATTCGGGTGTTACTGCAAAGATGAAATGAATGGTATGTTTTATGCACACATATATAACATGGACCATCTCTGCATTATAACATACCTTAAATGTTTTGATATATGAGTTTGATGCATTACATCTATATTCAGATACTAATAGGTACACGTTGTTCACCATCAAGTATCATAAAAGTTGTAAATGAGTTAACTGACGCTCAGAAACGTGGAGTGAAGACAATGGGTTTAGAAAGGTTGACCACCATGAAATGCACTGTGGTCAGGAGGAGCTTGTGTGACTGGTTGGTCAAAAAATTTGATCCCGCTACGTCTGGTTACATGTCCATGGTAAATCAATTAATTTCTCCCCTGAGGATGTGTATTACATAATGGGGTTGGCAAGCACAGCCAGTGAGTTGGACACTGCAGGTTCTTCGGACCAAACAGAGGAACTTCAAAAATCAATTTTTAATGGACAGTGGGAGTTGTCATTGAATATTGTGGTTGGTAAACTGAAAGAATTGAAGCATGATTCATTTACTTTTAGGCACCTATTTTCTCTTTTCATAATAGGCCGGCTTCTTTCCCCAACCATGAAAATGACAATTAATAGTTTGTACGCCAAGCCCCTTGTGGATGTAAATGCATTTTCTTCTATAAACTGGAGCAAATTTGTTTATGATGGTATTATTGAAGGCATCCAAAATTTCAAGGCAAAATCAAGGCGTAATATTTGTGGTTGTATCATTGTGCTACAGGTATTCCGTTATTTACTTATTTGCTAATGAGTTTCGTACTGCTTTCTTATTCATGCCAGTTGTAGTAAGTACTTGAACGTTATCCATTTGCAAATTTTCTATTTTGAGTGCGTGACACTAGTGGGAGAATCATACATTCCTTTACTGTCATGGCCATTCCCTCGGATGGCATTTTGGGGGGACAAAGAAATAGGCCAGCGCATGAATGCATTGAAAAAATGGGTAGCTACAAAAAAAAAGGAGTAACTTATTAATGATGTTATACTATTCCATTCTAGTTTTTTTGTTTGCTCTATTCATAATGGAAGATGTTGTTTATAAATTGTACGATATTAACTAATATTTGGATTATCGTAGCTAATGGTTACAGTTGAAAAGTCACTGACTGTTCTTGAACAATATGATGGACGCAATGAGAGGACAACATTTGAACATTCAATAAGTGTTCCTATCACTGATGCGAGGAGTAAAGTGAGGACAAAAGGCGTCTCTGACGCTCAAAACGTGCAGGTTACCTTTATGTAGGATATATATGGAGGTAGAACAATACAAATCATTATTATTAATATTTTCCATGAGTGCCACTTTAATGTGTTATGTAGAATTTTGACAAGAGATTGTCTAAGGTTGAGGTTACATTGTCTGAATTTCGAGCGGACCATGATGCATTGTCTGCCAAGTTCACAGTTGAAGTAACTGAAATTAAAAAGATGATGGAAACACTATCTGAAAAGGTGTGTAAAATTGGGAGAGAACAACATACAAAGGATTCTGTCCACGTGAGTACACTATATTACTATGTTATCCTTTACAATAGTACTTGTATGTGCTACTTTGTTTATTTTATGTGCTGAAAAATGTGAACCAGGGATTGTTTGATGACATTGAAAGCGAGGTCTGGCCTGACACCACCAATGAGGTTATTTTACACAAAAATTTAAACCAACTAATTTTTTTTGTGCACATGGACCTAAATTGGCAGACACTCCACTTTCAGGTTGTTGATGCGTTGGTTCCCCATATTACTGATGTTAGTGATGAAGTAGGAAATGCAACATTGAACTACATTTTTCATGAGGGACTTGATGCAGCATATGTCACAATTATTACCCTTGCAGGGTGTTTAGTATGTTCAGTTCTTATGCAAAGCATACCTTACATGTTGTAATTTGACAGTGAGACGATTGTTCAATTTGAAAAATTTCATGCGACAAGAATGACAATAAAGTCATTGGGACCCAGACAATTGTTGTTGAGCGAGGTGAGTTATATAATTTTCCCATATTTTGTATACCCACTTAAGGAGTAACTGGTGATGGATTAAATGTATGCAATTCTAAATATGTATAATTATGTATACAATTAATCAATGTCTTTGCATGCATTATGCCACACACATATGTGGGGAACAACGACACTCATAAGGCCAGGTGGTATATTCCAACGTGGGTTGCGGTAATAGTCCACAATATATTTTTTGGTGTTATGTGATTTTTTTCAGTCAATGTGGGCATATTGTGTTTTAACATTCAATATGAAGGTACGTCTTTATAATTTCACAAATCCTTAAATTGTAGCAAACAGTCATTCACTTTACATCTGAGGGGAATACTGGTGTGATAATGCAACAAAAACTCATGAGAATTTGTGGCCGATACATCGATGACATTGACATGTGTGCGAAGGTTTGACTGTATAAAAACTCATTCTGCATTACAAAAAATCATAATCTACCATCGGTATGTCACCATAGTGTATTGACTGCAATTGGCTTATGTAGATCTATGTCCCCATTAACGACGGCCAAAAACATTGGTTCTTATGCGTTGTGGACATACAACAGGAAGCAGTCCTCCTATTGGATACTCTTCCACATCGAACAATGAAGCATGGAAGACGTAAGCAAGTGGATGATGTGGTATGTATGATCTTATTTTCTATACAAAATATGATCCATGCAACTCATTCGATGGTGGATTTGGCAAGTGTAACTTATTGCATTGTATGCCCTGAGTAGGTTGCGGCATTAGGTGAACTTATTTTCCAGTTTAACAAAAAATTTGAAAAAGAAATCAGTACATGGCCCGTGATTGAACCAAGTTGGACACCCAAATAGGTGAATGAATATGATTATGGAATTCACGTTGTCGATATGATCCATCAACCTCATCTGGGCCAACCTCTAATTCAGGTGTAGTATAACAAATTTTTAAAAATTTCTTCATTAATTCTAATGTTTTGCACATGTTATAACACGTAAAATTGTATGTAGGCATCATCATCTAATGTTAGAAAGGATCTAGCATTAAAGCTGGTTACCCATCCACACAATACTAAGCGCGATGAAATAATTGGCAAGTCATTGAACCTCCTGGAAATGAAGCATGCGCGATGAAGATGGAAGCATCTGTATAATTTTTAGACAATGTCTATACCGATTCCAAGGTGGCATGAACAACTGCTACTCAACACAAATTAGGAGAAACCTACTCAGTCAATTGTCAGAAAAATGCCAACTCAGCCAAATGTTTGATTTTGCTGACTTGCATAACGTTTCCGTCTCTCCCTCCGCTAATTTTTGTCTCTATCCTGCAAGACATTAATGGGTTGTCCATTTGACCTTTTCTCTCTGAATTCTCTTGTGTGTGTTGTGTTATGTGTAAACATGTATGAAGCAAAGTCCATGTGTTGAGTGCAATATGGAAGCAAAATGATCTGTGTGTTTGTTCTTAAAAAATTATCTATACATTGTAATCCCTTTTTTTGATGGGTTGGAGGTGTATAGAATTTTGATTGATTGAGGGTCTCATGTTTTGGTAAATATGGTGTTGGATAAAGTGATCTACTCTTGCAAATTTAGGACTTTGCTAAAATATATACCCAGGATTTTTAGCAGACTTGAATTCCATATTGATCATGTGTACAAGGAACTAAACGCTTAGCTGATTTTTTTTTTTTAAAATGTGGTTCAAAGCAGAATTTCAACAGATTTTTCTGCTGCCTGTATGATCTTCCTAGGTATGCAAAGCTTCTGTTGATGCAAAATGAGGAAGGTCTTCCAGATTTGAGGAAGATGATTTTTTTTGCTTTTTCGATTCCTTATTTATGTATACATTTGGTATGGTTAGGAGGTTATTTGCTTTCCAAACTTGTGTACCTCTTTCAGGAGGTCAATAAAATTTGTCGTTGTTTAAAAAAAAAAATAATTTTCTGATATATTGTAATTACTAATTTTGTTTTTCGAATATGGTAATATAGTTTTTTTTCCCCAAAGTTAGGCTCTCTCTATCTCAGCCAAGTAAATGAACTTGTATGTCAATAGGCAAGTAAAGGGAGTTGGAAAGAGCCAATTCCTCAATTAATAAATTATGTCATATTTATAGTTTGTACAATCCACTTTTTTTAAAAAAAAAAACCTTTAATTTTAGTGATTAAAAAAAATTATTTTTACAACATAAAAGGTGACCTTGCAAAATTATCAATTTTTTTGAGTAATATTTAATGACCAAAAATTTATAACCACAAAAATTGTAATATGTACATATAACCAAGACCATGTCCATGTTAATGTGATGGTTGTCAAATCTCAAGGGAGATTTTTGAAGACTAACCAGTATAAAAAAGGAGACAGGGAGATTTTGACAACATTTAACAGCATTTGGAGTCCACAAAAGTGGAGGAAAATGTTCCCGCCAATAGCAAGAAGCTTCTTATATATGTGAATACATAGGGAGTGAGTAACACTCTTCTGAAAGTGTCAAAAAAAAAATCACTTTACACCCCTCTGGTATAAGCTTATAGGAGTATGGACTTTAAAAAATGCAACTGTACGCGAATGGGTATATTGCAGACCTCATGGACAGATTTCAACCCAGGTAGGAGGTTTATTGGCTGTGAGAGAGATGGGGTAAGATACTCATATTTTGGAAAAAAAGTTATTCCTAATTTTTTTAAATTTTTTTTGATAGTTTGCAGATACATCATAATGTTTACCAACATAACGACATGCAGGCGGTAGGTGGGTGCAATTATTTCCAAGACATGTAATTCCCAGACTATTGCGATCACTGAAAAGGCATCAGACACAGGAAGAAAGAGCCACAAAGCTGGCTAGAAAGTTAAAGTTTGCGCTTTTTTTATCATGGGTATTTTTCATTGTATACTGCCTTGCGAATGTTGCACAGCAGTGGATGAAGATGGTGTAATACATTATGTGGAGGTGTTGTGAATACCGAAAAGTCATGTTCCTATGTTGGGTTTTGATGTGTGTTGGTACAACTGGAATGGAAATGAACTTTTTGTTCATGTACTTCATATGTCTAACCCTATAAGAACCTTAGACTAAGCATGTGACAGTAATATAGCAAAATCCAGATTCATATAAATATATTCCTGTATGTACATATATATGTAACTATTGCAGGTGTTTATATTGGACATATATATATCCAATATAACAGATGCTACAATTACAAAATCCCAAAACACAAAATAACAGACGAATGCTTAATCTAAATGACTACATCAAGCATGTGAACAACTTGGTTTCTCAATATGTTTTCACTGTGGGTGACCAGTTGAATAGCTAGCTTCCTCCGCATATCATTCGAATCATCTTGACACCAATAATATTGTTAGTGTATGAAATACGAAAATGTGTAGAACTTAGTGCAACATAGATGTCCATCTGTTGTATTACCTTTACAATCCAGCTAGGACCTAACAAAGGTTCTTTCATGAATTTAATAACAAACATACTGCAGTCGTGTCCATTGATGAGTGAGTTTTATACCTACAAATTGAGTACTTTCAGTTGATGAAATTACAAGTTTTTAATTATTTTATATTTCTTTTTATTTTTTTTTTGTGTGTTTTGATGTTATTTGGTAGGAATCATCATTTGGAAGCAAACAAGATCATTTGGAAGGAAACAAAGTCAATTTGGAGCCTAAATGGGAGATTTTTGAAGGTTGAGCAACAAGGGAGCTGAAGGCTTAAAAAAGGCCAGCGCTGTTCCAGCGCAGAATCAGCACCCTGCGCCCACATTCTACCCATTCAGCGCCTTTTTAGTGCCCCCACTCTTGCGTTGGTCAGTGATGCGAATTTTGATTCATTTTTGACCCGGAATTGGATTCTAAAGCTACATATATACTAGGGTTTGTGTGAGGATGAGATAGACTGATTTTGGGGGAGGCTAACATCGAAAAATACCAAGGATTGATAGAAAATTGAAAACAAGGATCGAAGGAATCAATGCAAAGAAAATTGGAATCGAAGGCTAGAGAGAAAGTGAAGATTGCAACTAAATTTTCATTCTTTTCTCTTACTTTTATTTCTTGAATTTCAGAGATGTTGTTTAATTTGAGAAGGATGTTTTTCAATTACATTATGAACTAAATCTTTATTAAGATTGCAACGAAACCTAATGTCTAGTTAAATTGATCTACTCTCGTTTCTAGTTTTATTGATCATACATGAATTGTTTGTCATATTTTGTGCTTAATATATGATTGTGTAGTCAACAATTAATATGATAACCTAGATGAAATTGGAAGATGAATTCCAGGTTTAGATTTGAATATGATGACATGCGTTTGGTTAATTCTTCTTAGGATTGAATTACTGGGTTTGTGTATAGGATAGGAATATACCTATATGTCGTGTGCAACTTTTATGAGAGTCTGAACTTAATGAATCTATTCCAAATTATTTTACATAAGAATATAATAATTTAGTTGGGATAGATATTTTTATCTAACTATCAGAAGAGATTTGATAAATAACTTTGAATTTTCAATTAACAACTTGTTTTGATCAATTAACTGGAAAGAGAGTTAGAAAGGTTTATACGAAGCATTAGGGGAAGTTGTAATCTTAACTTCTTTTATCTGGTAAATTCAACCCTTGATTATTAAATTTAGATTTAGTTTTAAAGTAGTGATTTCTTAGTCAATTCCAATTGTTTAAATAAAATTGAATTGATATAAAGTTAGTACTTGGATATTATTAGTAATAATTCTCCGTGGGAATGATATTTTACTTATCACTTTATTACTTGTTGATCGTGTATACTTGTACGTAAATTGTCAATATAAAATTCGAACAACAAGTTTTTGACGTCGTTGCCGGAGAACTATTCTAGTAATTATTTCAATATTAATTTCAATCAATTTGATCTTAGTTTAAACTTATTTAATTTTCTATTTTAATTGTTTTCGCAAGTACTCTTGAATTTTGTATGCTAACACGATCTAAAGGTCAGGAGCTACTGCCGTACGAAGACAAAATCGAGAGAAGGTGCTGAAACTTGCGAAAACAGCATAAAGAAGTAAACAACCAAGTAGCTATGACTGAAGATGAACATAAATTGTTAAGGGATTATGATATGCCGCTTATTACAGAAATACAATCGAGCATTCTAAGGCCCGCAATTCAAGTAAACAATTTTGAGATCAAGTCGGGTACCATCCAAATGATTCAGAATTCAGTTCAGTTTGGGGGTTTGCCCAATGATGACCCAAACAATCATTTGGTGAGTTTTCTGGAGATTTGTGACACATTCAAATACAACGGGATTTCTGAAGATGCGATTAGACTCCGACTTTTCCCTTTCACACTTCATGATAAGGCGAAGAGTTGGTTGCATTCGTTGTTGCCGGGTTCTATTACCACATGGAAAGATTTAGCTCAAAAATTCTTAGCTAAATTCTTTCCACCAGCTAAAACTACAAGGATGAGGAACGACATAACATCATTCACACAACATGATTCTAAGACTCTATATGAAACTTGGGAGCGATTCAAGGATTTACTTTGAAAATGCCCTCACCATGGTATTCCTGAGTGGTTGCCAGTTCAGACATTCTACAATGGGTTGTTTAGTGCTACCCGGACTAGTATTGATGCAGTTGTAGGTGGGGTGTTAATGTGAAAATTTTTTAATGAAACTTATGAGTTGTTGGAGACGATGGCTGCCAACAATTGTCAGTGGCCCTCTACAAGGATCAATCAGCCAAAGGTAGTAGAGACTTATAAAGTTGATGCAGTTACTACATTGGCTGCATAGGTGGCTACGTTGACAAAGAAGATTGATGCTTTAGGGGTGCAACCTATTTAGAGTGTTGTAGTTGTGTGTGAATTGTGTGCCAGGAACCATCCAAGTGATCAATGTGCAATTAATCCGGAGTTGGTACAATACATTGGTAACCACAACAGGCAATAATATAGCAACAATTCCAACAACTATAACCTTGGTTGTAGAAATCATCCAGGTTTTTCATGGAATAATAATCAAGCTCAACCTTCTGCTCCAAGACAATCATACCCACCAGGCATTCAGAATCAAGCTCCACCTCAGTAAGAAAAGAAGTCTAATTTGGAGGATCTGCTTTCCAG